TCCGTAGAATAACAACATAAGCGCATATATGCATAAGGATGAATAAAGTTTCAAGTACTTTGCAGTAAATTCAAAAAGAAAAACGCTAATCGTCAGGTAAAAGTGATCGTATACCAAGTGGTGCAACCGACTCTCATGAGGGTAGAAAATATGACAACGGTCAGCTTGGGGAGACATACTCACTCCTTTATATATATAGAAATATTGCATACTGTAGGTTAGGTAAACGTTTTGTTAGCTACCTTCCAGGCTTAGCAAAGTAACGGATATGGAAAAAAATATTTATTCGATGGCACTAGGCGTGATATACGCCTCAGAATCAAGAGACCGAATGATTCATCGCAGAAATCTGGTCCAAAGAGACGAATCGAGTATGCGTTATTTGAGGGACATTGTAGTAGTCGGGAAGACTAAAAATTCCTCTCAATTACCCTGCATTTCCTTATTTTTCTTCGCCATTCTATCATGCATTCTTTCCGACAGTGGTCTTTATGTCGATGAATTTTCTATTCTGAACCTTCTATTTCACCTTTTTTACGGTGAAGCATATCTGTTGGACACACACTTCAAGTGCTTTGCTCAGTGCTTTTTCTTGTTTTGTTGCGACCAAAGTTTCGATTGGACGCTCTTTGTTCAACTAATCGTTGCTTTCGGTTATATTGAACCCCTTTTGGCTGTTACGCTCAAAATTATTTTGCTTGATCTGTTGAAGCGTGTAGAATTTTCCTATTGGTCCAGAATTATCTGAAAGGTAGTTCAAATCACTCATTTTCTTATGTACTTTTTATTACCACAGATATTTTCTGTGAATATTTGTAACATTTTGGCTGGATAGTGAATCAGGATCACTATCAGAGGTATGACTACCTTATGTATTTGTGATTATTGCGAAAGTAGTACCGTAGATTACTTTTCGATCGACGTGGTTCTCGATAATTTGGGCTACGCGTTGCTCTGAGATTTGTTTATCGCTATCCAGAACGAGCGGAGGATCATTTGATTGAACGCATACAAACGAGGTCTTTTTCGTTTCGCTCGGACCAGGACAATCACGTTCAGTCGTTACAGACATACTGGGTTCTACTACCGCAAACAATCAAACAAAGAAGACAGACAAACTATAGGGTTTTCACTCCAAATGTCTTGAATGAGTCCAGCGGCTATCCACCCGAATGGTATGTGGTCAGAACCACAAGGATTACGAGAACAGACTTAAGGACTTAAACATGTTTTCCCTTCGAGGCAGACGCATGACGGGTGACTTAGTTGAAACGTTAAAAATAATGAACGGTCTGTTGGGTATCAGAAGCGAGGAACTATTCTCTGCTATCTTGGAAAGTGGCACCAGGGGACATAGCTTCAGACTCCAGCGCCATCACATTGGGCTGCAACTCCGGGCAAGGTTCTTCACCAACAGGGTGATCCCATTGTGGAATAGGCTGCGAGAACACGTGTTCAAATGCAGTACTGCAGTGGCATTCAAGACGGCACTGGATGAGTGTTGGAGAACATTCTACCCAGAAGCGGCCTACTGAGGAGTAAGAAGCCAGCCGGTAAGATTTGATGTTGCAGATGTGGATGTATGCTAGAGAAAGGTGTCTTCTGTTAGGTATTTTCTGTAAATGTACCATGTGCCATTTTACATTTTATGACAATTCCGCCAGGTGTCAATGATCAGAATCAGGGTCATCCATACTAACCTATGGCAGCTTGGCCCAGGCCTAGACCGCTGAGTCTCATCTGTCTATTTTCAGAAACACCCCAGCTGCGAACGCATACTGAGGACAAGGACAACTAGACCCACCAACGGTCGATCACTGTAATAGGCAATAAGAAGTGTTGGAAGCTATAAACACCCACCAACAACACAACAATCTGGACACTCGAATGACTGTAAGCCACATTTCGTCCTATGCATACTAAACTGAACTGAACTGCATGCATGTCTTTAGGGTAGTCGCGTGGCATCCCAACTATTAGGATATCCAAAAACGATCGATTTTTAAATGTATTTTAGAAAAAACGAAGTCGAATTCAGCCGAAATGGAACAGATTATGCATTTGGCTGATTCTGAGTGATCTATTTAAATTTAGTTATTTTTTAATAACCTTAATTGACTTTGTCCGGAAAGTATAAATACCGCAACCTAACTCCGACGACCACTTTCGCGCTCGTACCAACGAAGAGGTTGTTTTTGAACGGATCGTAAAAAATTCCTGTGGATCGCTGGACGGATACTTGGAGGACTTCCGTGAATTACAATGAGTTACTTGCACTTCGTTCTACGTTTATGCGTCAATGACAGTCGAACAACTGATACGGGGAAGAAAGTTTGGTCAGAAAGTGACTCTGCCTGAGGGTTTTCCGTATTATTTCATCAAATATTGCTGTGTACATCACAGCAGGCGCGGCGTAACTGCAACCAGGTAATTATGCCTCTCATTTCTAATGTTTTTAACCCGTTTTAGGCTGCAAAATATCGATTGTCCGGCATTCGTTGCATTTTGCGCCGTCGGGAGGGAGTACCGAGTGATGAAACGTTTTTTGGTGCACAACCATGACTTCCATGTGGGTCAGCGGGGTCTGTATATAAGTAATCATCGTTTATCTGGAGAACAGGAAGAAGAAGTGTGTACTTTAATGGACAATTTTAGAAGTACTCGCGAGCTAAAGGATTTCGCCACGTACAAGTTCCAGAGACCCTTACCTACAGCAGATCTAAGATCCATACGTCGGAGAAGGTCTCAGTCGGATTCGCGTGGCGATGCGGTGAAAGTTAGGGATATGCTAGAGAATCAGAGAGAAGTTAGGATAGGGTTGAACGAAGGCGTCGTTCGTCACATTTATTTTGTTCCTCAGATTATGCTGCATTGCGTCGCCAGGTTTAATGATGTTTTGTTAGCAGACGCCACACATCAGCTAAATTGTGGCGAGTACGTGCTTTGGAATGATATGCTTGTAGATGACACCGGTTTATGTAGAAGTTTCTTCTACGCTATCTTGCCGAATGAGAGCGGAGGGAGTTATAGATCTGCTGTGGGCGCCATGAAATCTATGTGCCCAGTCTTTGCACCATGCAAGACTATATTATTTGATCGTAGCTTGGCTCAGTACAACGCGTTTTCAGAATGCTTTCCGTCANCGTCATCTAATGTGATATTTTTTCGATTCCATCTCGTTAAGGATTTGAAAAAGAAATGTAACCAGCTATCTGGTATCCCAATGTTCGAAAAGCTGTGCATCTTTCACTGGAGGACATTTCGAAACCTGATAAAAAATTAGTTATATTTCGTATTCGTCGATGATCTTAGGCTGAAAGTTTCAGAATAGTATTTAGAATAGCTTTTGATAGCTTTTTGATATGGAAGGTGTAATTTATATAGATTTGGTTTTGGTAGAGTTCCCTTTCAAGAATTCGTTCATTTACAATAACGGTCAATTATTTTATTTTTTTAGGTTTATTAAATTTTCCTTTAATTATTTTGTTTGTCGGCTGTCGTATGGAAACCGGCGTTATGTTTAGGGTCTGTAATAAGTGAAATAATTTTTGAGCAACAGTGGTCTCCAGTTGGGATTTTTTCATGGCTTGTGGAACGGGGACCGATCGACTGACCTTGAACATTTTGAATCAAGCCGCGTTTGGATGCTGCGCGCTTACCATGTCTCTCGTTGTAATCCGAGGAATATACTAAAATATCATCAATCGCCGCTAGCTCCCGGGCAAGACGATACGTTGTTCATTTCTTTTTTCTGATTTTTCAGCTGCATCCTTTAAAAACAAAAAAAATTATGAACAAGGATCCGGGACTATTGGCCCATCCTCAAACCCAAGTGTCACTTCAAGAAAACTGAAATCAACAATGCTGGTCAATGCGGTTGTCCCTGAAGATAACATTTGATGTATCATATAGTTCAATCATGTCGTTAGGTATGGAAAAAGACCATATTATGTCTTTTTAGATTCATTTATGCGATTTTTTGGTAATTTGTTTATATCAACCAACGTAGGCCATCACCATGGTGAAAATCCCGGACAAATGTGAATGATTTGGTTTTTGTTTAATTCAGGCAGTTTGTAATTCATTTTCGGTGTGCGTTACTTTCCTGCCTCTATGAAGCTTATAACTCGGTTTTTTCCTTTAATTTTTATTTCTTGAAGATCGTTGGTTAATTCTTTGTACGAGAAATATTTCTCGTACATCGACGGTCTCAAACCACGCGAAAGTCGGCCCGCAATAAGCTGTCCCGTGCAGCCTTCCAAATCAAAAAGCCCTCCGAAAAGATAAACCTACGTTTATCAAAATGTCGAGCTCTGCAGTTCTGCAGAATCTCCATCCGAGACCATGGATCTCAAGTATGAGATCACGTAGTGAGTCACCACGAAGAACGAGTGAGTTTCTTCAAATGTCACCATAATGAATATTTTCAAGCTTCATTCGGTCGGAACAACGTCAGTTCGTCAACTTTGAGGCGTCTTACAAGTAGTAAAAGTCCACAACCAGTAACTAAGTGAGAACGAAATTATTATATATAATTTATAAGTGCACAAAATCGAAACTATCAGGTTATGCGAAATCTTGAGAACGAGTATATAAAAAGTTTGCAACAGCAAATTTATTTGTTGGAGCTGGAAAATAACTATGTCCGACAGCAGGCTGCTAATGCCGTGGATATGCAACCAGCCATGATAGAAGAGGCTTCAAAAACGTTAACGAAGATCAAGGTAAGTAAAATATATTGTAAACTTGAATAAATTACTTGAAGCTATACAAGTATTCAGCTTGTAAATTCTTAGGTTGGCATGCAAGTATAAACATGAGACTAAAATTATACAACATTAGATTTCTACAGAAATTCACTGCTAGATATATTCACCATTACCCTGCTCCCCAAGGAGCACGACAGTCACCGTTGAGTCACTGGAGAGTCAACTGAGAGTCACCGACAGTCACCGTTGTGTACCCTTTTGAACAATCCCGGTGACTGTCGGGGTAAATGAAAAATTGGTAGCCATATTCCAATTGTCAACTTATAGCGATCTAAGCACTTAACCTCTGAATAAAAGTAACTAATGATCATTCGCTTCGCTGCCTATGCATTAGTTATCAAATGTGCAATTCATTTAATCCTGTCTATGCTTACAATGATTCATTGAGGAATCATTCCGAAAAGCTACCGCATTGCCTACTACGACATTCACTGTAACGCATAAACTTACCTTTTAAACCGAAAATTGTTCTTTATGACGCCGTTCACTAACACCTATCAGTTAATACCCATTGCTATTTTGTTCCCGCAGTACAGCATAATGAAATTCATGAATGATTATTCTATCAAAATTTAAATATCCAGGAGTAAGTAAGACAATATTTGCGCAAAACATTTTGCATTTAACTTTGGAAATGATGTAAAATAGCATATAAAGAAGTACTTTTTTCATAAAATTTACTTTCTTCTCTGGGATACGCATAAGGGAATTGAAAAAATTAAAATTCCCCTAGTACTTTTACACATAGAATCTGATTTTTGAATAGTTAATTCATATAAGCTGTATTTTGATTACCTGCCCCTGATGACTCAACGTTGACTCTCGAGTGTACACCGGTGCTGCCTGGGTCGTAAACGTTCGCATATACCCCTCCATCAATCGTGATTTGTGCCTCTATTTTGATAATGAATTTGCATTTTATTACATGATTATATATTGCAGTTATTTGATTGGTTTATTGCTTTAGAAATTGTTATAAATTAGATAGCTAGCGCTATCTTCTGAGAACTTAAGAGTTCTTTGTGACTCACTGGGTCCGTCCGGTTCTGTCTGATATTAGTCTCTTGTCCGTTGGGCGACCAGCATAGATCGGGCTAATATTAGATCCCTAGTTGGTGCCGCAAAAGCTGCACTAGAATTGTTTGTGCAGGAGGGCCATTTCTATTGGAATTCGGGGCTATAGCGCTATCAACGATACCTAAACGCGAATATGGTAAAGAGCAACAAAACTACTGCTTCAAATGAGTAAGAAAAAGGACAACGCGTGACAAACGGTTTATAGAGCGAGATATGCAGGAAATGGTTTACACGTGCAACGAGGTAACGTGACTCACTCAAGGTAAGCTCTGTGATACACACCGTGCTTTTCTAGTCTTTTTTATAATAAGGTTATATTAAAATACTGTCCTGACCTAGTAGAAACTCAAAACATTCGAAGGGATTTCATAGTATAAGCCTTATTATTTCGGCTGTCCTCGGTTCATTATTTATTGAATGTGTAACAAAGAAATTAAATATTAAAGTTCCTGGTATACACCAGGCAAATTGAACACATTGGTATGCACGAATTATCCAGTCAGTGCACAGCTTGTATATTAATTTTCTATGGAACACATGTAGTACTTATATCCCCTCCAATCATGCATCCGCCGAGTACTTTTGATATGTGAACTCAGTTCGATTCAGGAAGTCAACTCAGGTAGAGGCGAAGTTTGAAGCAGTCTAGACTGGTAACCATAATCAGATGGTTTTTTAGTGAGCTCGAATATGATCGGTGGAGAATCTTGTTCAGTTTCGCAAAATGGGGTCTTTTGGTATTTGTTTACATCTATGCCCTGGGTGATGCATACCCCACGGTTCCGACAATCTATTATTCATTCAGTGGAATCGGCATCCGTAGCTACAGGACTTGTAGTGGCCCCACTAGGTTGGACGTAGTATGAAGCTGAAAGTGAAACTGATTACTACTGTAAGTCAATTAAAAGCTTGATGGTTTTGAGATGGTCGCTTCTGAGACACCTACTCTTCAAGGTAACAGAATGTAAGCTAATCGGATGACTAATATATTTCTACCTCGATATTATAACAAATGATTCTCTCTTCATATTTGTA